AACTAAAAACAATGAGTTCTGAAAACGAAAGTTTTTATTATGTAGCAGTAGTCATTGTGTTCTCCACAGACATGCTTTAGCTGTCAAACATGCCATTCTCTTTTAAGTTTTGGATGAGTCTATACAAATTATTAATTAAATCAAGTTGCGTACATTGAAGTCAAAAGTTTTCCCAATACTATGTGTTGATGTGGGAATTCTTCATCAATCCCACCTTCAACGTACGAAGGAATTCAGGTGGTTACAGGAATTTAAGTCTTATTGACCACAATTTCAAATTGGCCAATGTTTTCAATGGTGAGAAATGACAATGTATTCTTTCGTAATTATCAGATTTTTTCATTAAAATTAATGAGATGAGTCTTTCTTTCTAAGAGAAGGGTATCTCATCTTTCGATGACAAAGTTCTCGCCTTCAAAAGAAAAATCAAGTTTTTAGTTGAAACTGTTAAACAGGAAGATATCGAGTGGTTTCCAATGTTAAATGATTTTTTAAAAGGAAACAAACTGGAGCTTGCGATCGGCACGTTGATTGATGAAATATCTGAACACCTTCGAAGTTGGGAGATGTCCTTTTCGTACTACTTTCCAACAGCTCGAGTACAATCTCCTCTCAAACCTCGTGCAAAAACTGTTAATGAAAACTCACTGAAAGCGTCCTGGGTAAGGTATCGAGTGGCACAGGCAGGTAAAGTTCATACCAACGCTGAAACCATCATAAAACCCTGCGTTAACGATATTGTATCTTGCATGCTTGACGAAAAAACAGTAAAAGTTATATGTTCGGCGCCATTATACAATACTGTCAAAAGACGGATACTTGATTTATCAAATGATGTGAATGGACCTCTGGTTTCTTTCATCCATCACAATACATTTTCTCTTCAAATCGACGAATCAACAGAACTCACGGGGATTGCTATTTTATCGGCTTTTGTCCGTTGTGAATATTCGGGATGTTTCGATGAGTACTTGACTTGTCTAAAACCACTTCCTGCCAATGGGACAGAAGCCGAATATTCCGTTTGTTGTACGATTTGTTTACATCTAACGAAATTCCTTGACGTGTGCACACATGGTGCAAAAGCAATGACTAGCCAAACGATCGAAGTGATTACTAAAATAAGATAGAAATCGAAGGATTGCAGCAACATTTATTATGTGTTCCACAGACATGCGTTGGCGTGAAATAAATGCCAGCCTCTTTTAAGAAAGTTTTGGGTGAGTCTATTCAAATTATTAATAATATATAGTCGCGGCCATTGAAGTCAAGACATTTCACAATACTGACGATATGGAAAGGCTTCATCATTCCCTGCTTCATCACACAGACGTAAGGTGGCTGTCTCGTGGGAAAGCCCTTATTTCTATTGATGGGCAATGTCAAATTGGTCAACAATGTCAAATGGCCTACAGTAGTATTCATTAGATATTTGCCTGAAAATGAATGGGATGAGTCTTTCTTTTCAGGGAAAGAATAACCAACTTTCGGGGCTGAGTCCAAGGGCGCTCTCTATCACTTACAAAAGCGTATACCTGCCCATTGCCACGTACGGAGGAGCAGCTTGGGGAACAAAATTGCAAAGCAGGAGTAGAAGCATCCTCGAGCAGAGTCAAAGAATAGGGCTCCTGAGAACGACTAAAGCTTATAGGACAGCCCCTACTCACGCCCTCCAAGTCCTTGCTTCCGCTGCACCAATAGACATTGTCCTCCACAGTAAAATTGCAATCCGGCAGCTAAGAGATGGAAAGGAGCCAACAATGGTAAATTTGGATGCGGCAGATAGGGAAAGGCTACGAACTGCACCTAGAAAGGAGATCCGGGAGATCCTCACAGTTTGGATAGACAACTTGTGGCAGGAAAGATGGGATAGAAGCACCAAGGGAAGGCTAACCCACGAGTTTCTACCCAGTATTGAGGACCGAGCAAAAGCAAAGTGGTTTCAACCAGATTACTGGACCACACAAATATTGACAGGTTACGGAAATTTCAATGCTTACTTGCACCGATTCCATAGAGCTAACAGTCCACTGTGTCCCGACTACAGAGTTGATGATAGTGTCCAACACAGACTGTTCAACTGCCCCCTCCTTGAGAGTGTGAGGGAACCACTAAAGCTCTTCTTCCGCCACACTTGGCCACCGACCCTCAACGAACTGATTAAAGAAAAGAGGGCGTTTGAGGTCCTCAAGCCTGTTAGCCGAGCTATAGTGGACAAAGTACCTGATTAGTTTGTTCTTTCTTTTTCTTCTTTTTCTTCCTATGTTGTTACTTGTTAATCTTAGCGTTTCCCTGAACTTTTAATTCCGGGCTGGTTACTCCTTGTACCCATAATTGTTATTTATTTATTAAAATATTGTATTTATTAGAAAGTGTGTTCAAAAGGATTAACCAGCAAGGGGGAGACCTATTAGAGTAGATAAATTAATAATAAAAAAAAATTTCCCTTCTTCCTTGGGTCTTCCCTTTCAGGGCAAGGTCGAAGGAAGACGTTAAGCACAATAAGATCCCCTAAACTTGCATCCCATTTGAATTAGTTTAGTGGCCGTGGTCCGCCGGTATGGGGTCTCCCTTAGGTACGGCGGGGAGGTGGATGGGAAAAAAAAACCAACTTTCGACGCTATTGACAAAGTTCGCGCCTTCAAAAGAAAAATCCAGTTTATGGATGAATCTGTTGAAAAGAAAGAGGTAGTGTTTTCCTGTGTTAAATAATTTTTTAAAAGAAAAAAAACTGGAGCTTGCGAACTGTTGATTGATGGAATGCAATTTGTGAAGACCTTTCAAGTTTGGAGAAGTCCATTGAACACTACTTCCCAACAGCTCGATATACAATGCTGCAAGACCATCAATGGGTGGTCGAACCGTTCACAGTTTCGACAAGGCCAACCAGTCTATCTTCAAGTGAATACGAATTTTTGATTGACATTACTTCAGATTCCAACAAGAAATCTACTTTCCAGTCCGATAGTTACCACTATTTTTGGCTCCGTTTGAATAACAATAAGTTTCAACGGCTCGTTGAAAAAGCAAAACGTGTTCTTCAATTTGCCACAACTTACCTATACAAATTCGTATTTTCTATCGATACAGACACAAAACCTAAATACAGAAGCTGTCTATGAACCCGACATCCGTCTCCAGCTATTACAACTTATTCCCAACATAACCAAATTGTGCAGGCTAAAACGACCTCTCTCTTTGTTTTAGAGTTGACTCAAATTTGACTTTGTGTTCTGGATTTTGTAAATAAAGTTCAGTATGTCAATCCAATGTTTGTTTTCATAGTGATATCTCTCTCCATCACCTAATTAGGAATGTACTGGCTAATTTATAATTTTAATTTACTACATATAATATAAGTTCATACTTTGAAAAAATTCAATGCGAGGGGTCCATCTTAGGTTTTGTTCTGTGAAAGGAGTCCGCTGGCTGAAAAGTTTGTGCAGCCCTGTTTTAAAGCATAAAAATGAGCTTTCGGTCAAAAGCACAGATACCCCGAGGGACGATGTGACCTCTGTTGTTGCGAATCAACGTAAAAATGTAAAAAAAATGAAAGACATTAGTACATATCCTATTTTTCAAATGAAGAATAAATTCTGTGCTGTACACTTTGCTGTTGTTGTTTCGTTTTATTATACATATCTTATTGTGTGTTAAATTGTTTTTTAATGTTAAACTACTTCTTCTGTTTCTAGTAGTCTACAGCAGAAAAATGTGAGCGGTTTGTCGGTCTTATCGAGGTTATCTCTCCACTCTTGGACGGTATTCATCGAGTATCAATACTCAGTTAACTACACATTAATAAATTTTTAAACAATGTTCTGAGCTCTGCGAAATGATGCAACCTCAATCGATGACCGTTCTAACTGGCTTAGACGCGTTTTTCACTTTTTCGTCTTACCAATCGCTCAATAAAGAAGGCACAGGCAAAACCATGGAGAACTGGTAGATCGGGATAGTCAAAAGCTATAGATAAATTAATACTAACTACTTATTTTGCCTTCATGTACAACAATACTTTATCACTAAAATTTCTTTTATTATATACATTTGTTAAACTTGTAAACTATTTGGTAATATGTACAACAATACTTTATCACTAAAATTTCTTAAATATGTACATTCGTTAAACATGTAAACTATTTGGTAATATGTACAACAACATTGATGTGATTTATAATTAAAAAAAGGCGATAAACTGGGTAGATGTTATTAAAGTAAATAGTAAAAAACAATTCGTGTCAATCAATGTTGTTTGATTAAGCGGAGAGCAGGGATTCGTTCGCACTACATCAGTCCTGTCAATTTAAGTTGCCCCGGGTCGTGGTACCATTATTACCATTTAGAAAGGGTGTGGCCCTCCCCCTGTGACCCATCCTAACTAATATCCTAAATGCACATTAAATGAACGGGGTTGCACGATTACCTCTCATCTTCCGCATTGCGAAACTGGAAATTCCTCCCAAATACTCCGTAACACCCTCAAGCAGCCCTACTATCAACTACCAAAAAACCAACTTTTCTGTATTTGTAAGAGAATTTCTCTCCTCGTGCATAAAGTTTAAAATGAACCCTACTATTAGTCAAACGAATTATTAAATTGTTTAAAAAAATTTCATTACGGAAGCGAAAAACAATTCGAAGTAAAAGGGGAATTATGCAGAGACAATCTATCAACCGTATTTTTTTTAAATTAAATAATTAATATTTCCTTTTTGCGCATTTTTATATATTTATTTGTATATAATTTGCTCCATTCAATGTAGTTTTGCAAATATTATCAACTACATGTATTTAAAAGAGGATATTGCAATAAAGAATGATTTTAATAATAATTAATATAATAGTATTCTGTTGCTATCCTCTAACCAAAGATCGTGTGCCAGGCGAGGAGGATGGGGGATTTTTTGACTGAGATTTATCACGCTTAATTTTTCAGTTGCACCGACGCCGCCGTTACTTGGTGAAATGAAGATTCGATCTTTTCTGTTGTGGAGGGTGGTAGTCGGTTGATTATACCGAGAAGGCTGGACGTAGCGCCACCGGTCAGTAGCTCTCTAGTCGGTGAATCGCCCTCACGCGATCGTTGAAATCCTTCGTACCGACCTCGTTTCAGTCTAATTTGATGTTGAAAAGCAGACGAGTTCCCCGAAGAGCTTGGAAGTGGGAGGAGTGGGCCGAAAGATGTAACCGTGTGTGAAGACTAGTTGTTCGCGGGAGCGTGGAAGGTGGCAGTAGTATTACTGGAGGCTATGGAGAGGCAACAAGCGTTTACAGTACTTCCTCCACTGTCTCCTCGGTTGCCGCCACCTCCACCGACCCCGGCCGCGACGAGGATGGCACCACTAACTGTGGCACACAAGGAAAACAGTGCCTTTGTCATTTTGGCCGATATCGGAGATCCGCCTTCCGGAAGGGCCAGTCCGTTCAGAGGACGGGGCTTCAGAACGCCGTCGTCACCACCTTCTAGCAGGATACCAGTTCTGACAGGTAAGAGTGCGCCTTCGAGCCCCGTCAGGAGCAAACCTCTTCCAGGAGGAAAGAGTGCACCGGCGAGTCCCAAACGCGTCAACGCGAAACCCCCTCAGCCTAAGAGGCGCAATGAGTCCCCTTCGAAATTACCTGTGAGCAAAAACCGAAATTCTCCTCTGTCGACACCAGTAAAAGAACCAGCGAATCGGAGGTTAAACGCGAAGCCTCCAGTTTCGAAACCTAACTCACCTAGGCGGAACTACACTGCCGTAAACACGACAACGAATAGGGTTCCACAGTCAGAAAGAAAAAACGATTTAACAAAACCTCTTCCTGCGGCAAGGACTAGATTTAACAATAAGCCGGTGAGTACTGATCTTAAAATCGGCCTCAACAATAAATCGGATAGACCAAACTTAGCCGCCCCAATCGCCACAGCGAGGCGATCTACCACAGAGTCTAAGAAAGGGAATGATAATGGCGAAGGTGACAAAAATTCACATTTATCAAATGGAACACACTCGAATACAGCAGCAAAAGTTAAGCAGGACGAAACTGTCAACCCCCAATCGTCAGGATGTGCCATCGATAATTCGAACGGGTCTGAACGAATTCCGAATTCACAATCAGAGTCAGAAGAGAAAACAGAACATGGTGAAAAAACTACTGCTAATGTTGTCTTGTCAACCAATGAAACACTTCCAGAAACAATTCACAAACTGAATAAAGATATAAACTCGGTAAAAGGAGACCCCAAGATTGGAGCTACCAAATTACAGGAGGTTCAAAACAATTCGGGGGTGGAACTGGTTGTGACGAAGGTCGAAGTCCTTAAAGAAAAAGCTCCGACAGATGAAAAACTCGGTCAGTTAAAAGAGAACTTGATTGTATTAAAATCCGAAGTCGAAGATGACATAAAAACGGGAAAATCTAAAACCCAGGAAGTTATCGAACTCAAAAACATCAAAGAAAGAAATAAAATGGTAAACGGGTCGTACAGCGACAAAGAAGTTGATATTACAAGAGAGACAGAACTTATTAAAGAAGGAGGTGAAAGATACCAAGAACTGAAAGAGAATAAGATGGAAATGAACGGATTGGTCAAAAACAAGGATCAAACACTTGTGGAATGGACTACCAAGCAACCGATGGAGCTCGTCCAGCCGGACGTTATCCCGACTGATCACACGACTTCCGTCGGAGTTGGAGTTGGAGCAGTCCAGGTGGCCGAAACCACTGTGGAAGGTCCACCTGAGGTGGAAGTAGAAGCTGGAAATCACACTGTCACATTCAGGTATAATTTCAAAAACATCTTTAAAGTAAAAATCTTTAAAGTAACGCAATCACTCCTATATTTTCATTGCGCAATGTTACAAAGTTAACTTATCGTCGAATTTTTTGTACACTTCTTCAACGTTCAATTGCATGATCAAAATCACAGATTATACATATTGTAATATACTAATTTCGTCACAATTCAACATCTTTAACTACTTTCTTTCCATTTGAGAATTTGTTATGCCGTATGGGTTTTAGGAATGAAATAGATTACATAAGATAAAGTCAGCTTTATTAGTTGCGGTACTGGGTCTAGTTTATTTTCTTCTAATGAGAGTGGAACAATAAAATAACCACGTACAAAGTTGAAGAGGACAAACATCGAAACCACATTACCACCTTTCAAAATGTTAAATTGAGTAACAAATATAAAAACTCTTTCTTTCGCATTCCCTCTCCCTCCCCCTCTCACTCACTTCTCTCTCTCTCTCTCTCTCTCTCTCTCTCTCTCTCTCTCTCTCTCACACACACACACACACACACACACACACACACACATCATTGCATATGCGAACACAAACAATGATACAGCCTCTTCTCCGAATCACTAATTAACAAGAAACATTTCTTTACATGTCCGGAATTGACTAAAGAAAGAATAAATGTCCGGCGCCTCTGGACGTCTTAAAGGAAACGTTTACCCCCCTACATTATGTATTAACTGCGATGAAAATTGAGAAGATGGCGAGCGAATTATTTGAATTGTGTTCTCAAGAATGATGTTTTATGATTAGTTAGTGTTTACCAACCCACTGCTTCCCGCCATGAAGCTACTCATGGTTTTAGTCGGTTATTTCCAAGACAATTTACTGATTTAGGCAGGTTCACTTCATTTATGTCAACGAATCACGCGTTACAGATCATAAACGGCACGAAAAAAATATGATTATAATAGGCCTTAAAACCTACAAATAATGTTTTTTTTTTTCTTCTGATAATAAAATACTATTTCACAGCCATATTTTTGTGAGATTTCCTCCTGTGGACTGTAGGGTGATAATCCTATTGTTTTATAGTTACCTATTATCCTTGTTTACACATCCTCGCAGATTTTTTTGACTAGCATTTGGTGATATATACAGGGTGGCCCCAATCGATTCAGCCTCACTTCCAAATATAGGAAATTGAACGCTGAGTAAAAAAGGTCTGCAAACCCTTCAGTTCCGAGCTACAGGCAAAAAACCATAAAAAAACCACGTTTTTTGACCTTATTCGTGAAATTGTTAGTAAACCGTTGGCCTGACCGTAAAACAGCTCGAAACAACGCCTGTAGAGGGTTAATTTCTGCGTCGAATAAGATTAAAACCGCCCTGATCGGCCGAAAATTTCATTTTTAGCGATTTTTCGAAGTTAGGAGGTGAACGGGTACACAAAATTCACCATTTCTTACATTTTTATCGAAAATTCACAACTTGAACTGTTTTCTGATGGGTACCCCCTACTGAATTAAATAATGTACGAAAAATCTGAACGGCTAACCTAAGTTGTGAATTTTCGATAAAAATGTAAGAAATGGTGAATTTTGTGTACCCCTTCACCTTCTAACTTCGAAAAATCGCCAAAAATGAAATTTGATCAGGATGGTTTTAATCTCATTCGACGCAGAAATTAATTCTCTACAGACGTTGTTTCGAGCTGTTTTACGGTCAGGCTAACGGTTTACTAACAATTTCACGAATAAGGTCAAAAAACGTGGTTTTTCATGGTTTTTTTGCCTGTAGCTCGGAACTGAAGGGTTTGCGGACACAGGTTCATAAGACCTTTTTTACTCAGCATTCAATTTCCTATAAGATCTGGAGTGTGGCTGAATCGATTGGGGCCACCCTGTATACTGAAGACAATAAAATGCCGGAACGCGTCTGAATTAACAAAAATCAACGAGGATAGGATGAGAAGTAACTATCAAACAAATATATTTTCTACATGTCTCAGGTTATTACTTTCAAATTTGTATTACAAAATTGTTGATATTTTAATCGACTAGACAAGAAAACTCAGTGAAAATTAATTTACCTATGGTACCATCACGTAAATATTAAAATTTGGAGATTACTACACGAATTTTATAACTAATACATGAATAATTACACTTTGGATACCGCATCTCTAGTTTCATTATATTTTCTATTATTTACTATGTGATTTGCTATTGCCTTAAGAAAAGATACATATTATTTTGTTTAAAAGAGTAAACTACAAGATAATCGTTTTCGATTAAAGTTTTTTCTAACGGTTTAAAACAATTAAATCTCCTCGTAATGATAGGAATACAACTAACTAGTTAGCCGGTTAATAAATGTCGTGAACACAACTAGAGCAAAGAAGTACGTTCTTTAAGCTTAATTATACATCGTACAGCGAGTAAGCAAACGAAAAAAATAGAGTGAAAGAAATGTCCTCTTCCGGTAGATAAATTATCATTTATTTAAAAATATGAGAAACTTGAAAAATAACAATATGTATAACCACAGCAGTACTTTATTTTTTAACATTTTGGTGTGTGTGTGTCAACTTTTCCTACAAGTGACAAATTCAGCATATATGGAAAATATTTACTTAAAATACAATATTTGTAGTTTTAAAAATCAAAAAATCTAATAAAAAATATACATATATTTTTATTTTTGCTTTGACTATAAAAACAACTTTTTATCAATAACAAGAATAGGTTTGGCGGTTTTGAATGATTTAATAAATAAACAAATTCTTTTGATATTCAATCCATCATTTCCAATCCTACGTCATATAATTTCAATTAAATCTTTCAAAATGAAGGAAACGTTTTTCTGACAAAGTTTTATTATTTATTTCAAGATTTACTGAACACTTCTGAAACACGCGTTTAAAGCTAAAATGAGGTTGACAAACTCAGTCACATTAGATTTTTCAATTTTTATCTTCTAGCCTTACACTAACGAATTACTTGGGCTATTTTTGCTTAATGTTGCGAATCTTTCAGAGAAATATGATATGGTGAAGAGGTATAGTTTAGAGATTTTTTATATACATTTGGTGAGAATCATGGGACAGCAAGCCGAATCAAAGACTCTTTTTACATCCATAGCGACAAGTAATACAGTTTCTTTTCACATAAGTTTGACACACACACACCACACACACACACACACACACACACACACACACACACACACACACACACACACACACACACACACACACACCAACAACAACGACATCTACAATCAACCATATGTACAGATGTACTAATTGACCGTTGTTGAACAAGTTCCTCTCAAATTCCTATTCAAACTAGCTTTAGATGTATTATTAATATTAATATTGTTCGGTACAAATTGACAGATACATCATCCTGTATATGGGAGAGCGAGAGGTGTAGTTTGTACGGGAAAATTGATGGTTGAATATTGTTTTGCGGGTGTGGACAGATGGAAAGTGAAAATTGAGATGTAGCAATTCTGGGGAGTCAATATTATTATTAAGAAAGCCGACGACAAATAATTATATCGGATATATTTCTTCTTGCGTGGAGAGCATTTAAATTAAAGGAACTTAATTTGTTGCGGAAGGAGACTAATTTCAGGAATTTTGCTTCTAATTTTTCTAACATTTGGATGTTGATATTGATATGTGGAGAAAAAACAAAACTAGCATACTCTAGATTTGGACGGACTGCTGAATCGAAAAGACAGATTAGAGGAGTGGTTTCTGTAAAGACAAGGGAGGATATAAAGGGATTCTAGTTTGGATGCTCTTTTGAAAATGATTTCTACGTGAAGGTTGAATTAATTCCTAAATCTTTAATGCCGGATAATCTTGATAAGTGAGTTTTATTAATCATATATTGTAAAGCAACATTTGTAACTTTACAGGAGTAAGTGATAATAGAGGATTTGTTTAAGTTGAAGATATATTATTTTCATAGCACCATTTATTTAAGTTGTCTAGTGAATACTGAAGAGTAAGCCAATTTTCTAGATTAGAGATCAAGTGAAATAATCTTGAATCGTTTGCAAATAGTAATGATCTTACAAAATGAAGAATAGAAGGACATTGTTAAAGAAAAGAAACAGAACTGGTCCCAAGTGTGATCCTTGCGGTACGCCGGAAACTTGTGAAAATAATTGTGTTTGTTACTACCACAAATTTTGACAACGCATCATTATTTGATAACCGTCTCATGTCCACAATCTATCTCAGCCTGAAAGGGAAATGTTTTTATGCTTTCTTAATGGTTTTACATAATTATGCATATTGTGGTTTATTGAGTGGTCGATAAGCACCATATCAAATTGGAGAGTATCCATTGATTAATTTTCACAAATTCAGATTAATTTAATGCAGTTGAATAATTTTGAAACGGCGCTTATCTAGGTCATCTGTTCAGCACATCTCCAATTGTACGTTTTCTTGTTCATCTGCCGTAACGTAATCGAATATTTCACTTTCCCGTGACGAGAGAAGGAAACCATCAACCGAGTTGAAACCCATCTCTAGTCGGTTTCACTCGTTAGTACAAGTCGGTGTTACTCATCTTCCGATTCCTTTATTAATAATTTTTTATTGGTGTCTTAATTATTTGGATAAATATTTGAATTGAGAAGCGAAAAGCTTTTAATACTGAGGTGTCTAATTTTGAGAGTTATTGACAAAGATTGCATTTATTTTGAGAAATTCAAATTTGGATTCGTATTCATTAATTCATAATATTGACTGGTACGCAAAATTTTTGGATTTTCAATTAAATTTTATGCCATTTAATTACGTATCATATTTGTTTATTAATGTTTATCAGCATGAAAATAGTTGGTTATTATTGAATTGAATTAACCGCTGTCAATTTTTGGTTCAGGTTTTTGAATGGATCACAATCAGTAACAGTTTTTGTCACTCCGGCTCGTTACAAAATATCATAGAAAGTCGACTTTATACTGATGATATGAAATAATTTTTAAAAGCGTATTTTTATCCCGGATTATTTTTGAGGCAGAGCTTATTTTCATTATTTGATTGATGGCACAATTTAACACAATTGATTTGATTGATTCACCCCTAGGATGAAAAAGAGAAATAAACAAATTGAATGAATTAAAGAATGAATTTAATTTGTGTTGGTTAATTAGTGCTAACCTGCACTCATCTGTAAAACGTAAGTTTATAAGAACGCAAAGAAATTCGTATAGAAATTACCTTTTATAAACTAGACGATTTGATTTACATAAAAAAAAGATATACGACCGGGCGACCAATCAGAGCACTGCATAAGGGCCCAAGAGGCCTTCCCTCCTTCTATGAAGGTTTAAAATTTTGAATTTAAAAAATTGACAACTGATGCAACAGAAGAGAGAATTTTAAGGTCCTGTGTAATTATATAACCAAGCATAATCTCCTTTTCGCCTTTCCTTCATCGCTATTTAAACGTCTTTGATCGCCGACTGCATGTTCCTGTCAGTCGACCTAAGTTTTTTCCCCGAAGTATAACCCAATATAATACAAATTATAATATTCTGTCTTAGATGAGGAGCCTTCATTTTTAAAATGGTATTGGGCGAAAAAGTGTTGGTGTAGCGAGTGGTAAGGAGATCAATAGGGTCTGCGTGTTCCTGGCAACTGGTCAGTTTCTTAGGATATCAGATCGTCTTGCACGAAACTGGAAGTCTCCCCGGTCGATTTATGAACGGAGGTTATGACGTGTCGCTTTTTTTAGTTTTTAACGTCAGTCTACTTTGTCAAGCAATGACCTTTGAATTATTAGTATTATTTGATCGTTTTTTGTAATGCAAGTTGCTTGTATCAATTTTCTCCTAATTTTCACAAAACAGTGGTTCATGTATATTTTTTCCTAATCATGTAAGACATGGGCCTATATAATATACACCAGGAGTGTAGTTGGTTGCATAAAGATAAAGGAAAACATATTGCCATGCAATAACTCAAGTATCCAACAACGAGGAAGAAATTACAAAATTGCATTATATGTAACTAATCCATTCCAAGCTGCCATGTTGCATATATCATTAATTATTATATAAATCCCGTAATCAATTAATGTTTGATATGGGTAAATTAATATCAGACGTTACACAACTTTTTAGAATATTTTTAAAATGTATAAACCTCAATATGATGGTCAACAATGAAAAAGTTTTCTTTGGATTACTGGGTGATAATAAAATCACTCCATTTGTGATGCACAATCATAAAAAGAATAACGATACGAAAAGGGACAAATTGATTTAATTTACGTAATTTATTTAAAAATCGCGATAATTTCTGATCTTACCAACTGAGCATATGGCAATTCATATTATAATTAGTTACCCTCTGGTAACCCTATCCTTGTCGTTTTAAATAACGATTTCGTTGGGGTATCTGAAGATATTCAAACATCCCGTTGCCAATGTTCATATCTGTGATGTCGTTTGGATTTGTCAAAAACGCGATTCAGTTTCGTTTTTCTTCATATTTCTAATTGAGGGCCTCACCCATTCCGTGTTCTCTCAAGGACTCCTTAATTTCTTTGCTGTTGACCCACCCCTACGTTGAGAAATGTAAATCGAAGAGTGGGGAGCTGCCTTGACCACTTCTCACCCTCGCCTTAGTCCGTTCCTATGCCATGAAGTACCTCATATGTGGGTAAGTCGTGTAATTTTTCCGTCATATTGAAATATTTATTACTTTTCGTTTTCGAATTGGCGCTGTATATGTGCCTAATATTGAACAATTTTTCACACATTCAAAAGACATCAACGACAGTATAATCTCTGTAAATTATTTACTGGTCTCACTGTCGAATTTGCGGGTAATGAGGATGAAAATCGATTGTCTGGGATTTTTTTGTTTTATTGTGTAGTACTTTCAAGGGCGCAAGGACTCCCATAAATTTTTTGATCTTAAAAAAAGATCGATTTTTGACTCATTAATTTGAGTCACTGAGTCGTGAGGACTACTAATTCCAGTGTCAAAGTTCGGTTTCGCCCAAGTGTTACCGGGGACTGCCAGATAAAATAAATATAACTCATTCTCATTTTTAACTATATTAACAACAAATGCATTTGTTACGGGATGTACGATACAAGTCTTCTTATTTTCCCCAAAAACAGAAATATGATTGCGCATCGTCGTTGGGTTTTGTCACAACAGCAAGAGAATCTTATTAAAATCGTATTTATTGTAAAATATTTTTAGCAAATAAAAAGAGTGAAATGCTGTTAATTTCCGTGTAGCCGTATGCAAACAAAATTTAAAATCCCAATTACTGATTATCGTCGTTTGCCGATATAAAGGTTATCAATACTTTTATTAGTTATTTAAACGATAAAGTCGGGTATGTAAAAATTAATCCTTCATTTATACTTCATTTATAATTTCATTTGCATTCGTAGCGATTTAAACATGAAAATGTTATATTATTTGTAATCATTACTTTTTATAACGCAGTTAAATTGATTTTTTTTTCATTCGATCTTTTATTCTAGATACTGTTTCTTATTTTTAATCGTTTTACCTATTGCTTTTTATTGTAGTATTTATGAGAAAAATGGAAAGCAATTTTCATTTTTTGTAAAACTATTACTACTGAACGTAGTAATTAGTACTTTGACTATTATTCTCGAACCTGGTTGCGAGGGCATCCGATTTTCGTGTCGCGCAACGGTCTGCTGGTTTTGATTTCCGCCGTTGCACTTTGATTATTCTAACGGAGCAAATATTGTAAAGTGGTATGACCCACATCCACGAATATTACGAATTACTTTACTTTATTAAATAATCCTCAACTCTAATCTCACGAAATGCCCAGATATCGTCCGAAAGTCAAACGTCTAGCTCGTAATTTATGAAAATTTTCATAATTTAAGAGTCTATTAATTAATTTCGTTTTGATTTCAGCTCACCGGAAATACACCCGGTTTCCCCCCGCATTGCGAAGAAAACTGGCCTCTGTTCTCGGATCGAGGAGAGCATGTATTCGTGCTGTAGGAAAGATAAAAACAAGAACAAAGTGATCAAAGTGAAAGGTCCTGAAAGAGCCCAGACTGAAAAGCCGCCGGAAAAGAAACCATCGATATTTTCCAGACTTTGCAAATGGAAGAGGAAACCACGGCCGCCGCCGCCTAAACAGAAACCGAAGGTGCAGGAGAGGAGTCGGCAGAAGCAGGGGCTCTTCTCGAAAATTAACTGTTGTAAAAAGAAACAGCCCAAGCCTAAAAAAATTGAAACCACACCTCGTAAAAGTATCTGGCGGACGGTATTTTGTCTAGACAAAGCCTGTTGTTCTAAATGCAAATGCAGCAAAAAACAAGAAACCAAGAAAAAAGACAAGATCAGAAGCTCCAGTCTAGTGGTACGTATATACATCAAGAGTTATCACATTTTTAAAATTTTCATGCTCATTTTATGAAATGGAACAAGTTTTCGTTTTCTTCCCTGTCATAAAATTACAAAACATTATTACAAACTCGTTATTAATTAAAACCTGTAATATTTAATATTAATAAAAATATGACTTGAAACATGCGAAGCCCAGTGACTTTCTCACTTAATCAGTTTATTAATAAATGTGATAATAATATATTGCAACGAATTATTTAACAGTAATGACGAGTTTAGGATGGTACGAGGTCGCTTCCTTTTCAAAGTGTCTAAGGATTTTTAAAAAAAAAACGCCCGAATAAAAAATAATATGGGGCAGAAGTTAAACTCACTCTGTATTACAAAATAGTTTATCGCAAGATTTCCCAAACTTTTTAGCAATCGGACCCCATTCACAGAACAAACTCCAGGGCGGACTTCTCGCTTTCAAGTATTTAAAATTAGATACTTATAGAATATGTAATAAATTAAAGTTTTATAAATTAGCCAGTCCATTCCTAATTAGGTGATGGAGTGGGTTATCACTATGAAAACAAACATTAAATTGGCATACTTAACGTTATTTACAAAATCTGGAACACAGTCAAAAATGTGGGTAAGTATCGGACTCGAAATAGATATCAAGGTGGAATCTGAAGTAATGTCTATCAAACATTGGTATTCACTTGAAGAGAGTATACTTGGCTTTCTCGAAACTGAAAACAGTTTGACCACCCATTGATGGTCTTGCAGCATTGTACTCGAGCTGTTGGGAAATAGTGCTCACAGGACATCTCCCAACTTTAAAGGTTCACCTCAATCAACGTGCTTTTCGCAAGCTCCAGTTTGTTTTCTCGTAAAAAAGCATTTAGCACAAGAAAACACTACACCTCTTCCTTCTCAACAGATTCAACCTAAAACTGGATTTTGCTTTTGAAGGCGTGAACTTTGTCATTTACAACGAAAGTTATGATACTCTTCCCTTGCAAAGAAAGACTCATCTCATTCATTTTAATGAAATATTTGATGATCAATACGACAGAATACATTGCCATTTATCATCATCGAAAACATTGGCCAATTTGAAATTGTGGTCTGTAAGAGTTAAGAACGTAATTCCTGTAATCGTGAAAGTGCTTTCGCACAAGGAAGCCACCTGAATTCCTTCGTACGTTGAAGGTGGGATTGATGAAGGATTCCACATCAACACATTGTATTGGGAAAACTTTTGACTTCAATGTACGCGACTTGATTTAATTAATAATTTGAATAGACTCATCCAAAACTTAAAAGAGAATGGCATGTTTGACATGTTGTCTGTGGAAAACACAATGACTACTGCTACATAATAAAAACTTTCCGTTTTCAGTACTCATTGTTGTTAGTTTCTTAATTTTATTTATTCATTCTACATTTATTTTTGTTATTATTAATTTTTCTTGAAGTTCGCCACGGACCGTAGTTTAGGAAGCCCCTTGTTACGCATTCATTTGAAAAATGGCAAAAGGAGGGAAAACTCATAAGGTGGGGTTGAGATGGGAAGTTGATGTCCGAATGGATCGAGGTCACGATAGCTCAGGTGGTAGAGCAGCGGCGTATCTAGCCGAAGGTCGTGGGTTCGAATCCCTCTCGTGCCATTAACATTTTTTCATCTCAACTAAAAAAACCTTAATTAATTGTCATGTATTAATTGGTCAAGCGGACCACGAAATTAGTGAATTCATTTTAAGGCGCTACAGTCGACTAAGCCATCAAAACTACCACGAGTTGAAGGTTTAGCAGAATATCTTTTTTTGTAATTACCTATTGGAAAGAAAGACTCATCTCATTAATGTTAATGAAAAAATCTGATCAATACGACAGAATACATTGCCATTTCTCATCAATGAAAAGGTTGGCCAATTTGAAATTGTGGTCCATAAAACTTAAGAAGGAAGCCACCTGAATTCTGTATGGTGAAGGTGGGATTGATGAAGCATTCCCACATCAACACGGTATTGTGAAAACTTTTGGCTTCAATGGCGTGACTTGATATAATTAATAATTTGAACAGACTCACCCAAAACTTCCCTAAAAGAGTCAGGCATTTGTTTCATAGCTAAAGCATGTCTGTGGAATCACAATGACTGCTGCTGCAAAATAAAAAACTACCATTTTGAATATTCATTGTTATCAGTTTTTAATTTAGATTTAGTTATCTTTGTAATTATTACTTTCTCTTGAAGTTCGCCGCGGACCACAGTTTGGGAGCCCCTTTTTACGCATTCATTTTTAAGGAGCTATAGTCGACTAAGCCGTCAAAACTACCAAGAGTTGAAGGTTTAGGAATATTTTTAATATTTTTCACAAGCAGAAAATGTCCTGAACCCTTCAAAAATCGAGAGTTACACCATTATTCAAAAGTGGAGACGAAAAGTTACTATGTAACTACAGACTTATTTCACCAACTCTCTCATTACCCAAAGTATTTTGTAATTTACAGATATCATTTACCTGTTATAAAACCCAGTTATATCAATTCTTGAATATAACAAAATAATGTCAATCAATATAGTTTTAGATTGTATTCACCTACCTCATTCACTTGGTTTGACGTTGCCAAATTAAAAGGTAAATTTATGAAAGGAATCATGTTTGCAGTTTATCCTTGTATATCAGAAAGACTTTTGACTGACTTAATCACCAAATTTTGTTATTTAAATTAATAAAGTACGGCATAAGAGGACATTCTTTGAAAAGTTTCAATTCTATTTAGCTGATAAAAAGCAATTTGTAAAAAATTTTACAAAAAATTTGTAAATATTGCAGTGAATGTTGGAAAAGATACATCATTTGCCCCCACAGCACAGTTCTTAGCCGAACATTGTTTTTGTTATGTATCAATGATCTATTTAAATTACCTCTTAAGTCAAATATATTGCAGACGTTATCACTCTTAATTCATATGACAAGTCCCTTGAAACTGTTTACCGTTAATATAACGTGTGGTTCCCTTACTACGTTGGTGAGATTAGCGACTTGGAAAAAATACAAAAGAAAGCAACCAGGATAATGGGTTTCTGATTTGGTCTTGCACACCTGAATTACTTGGGAAGAATGAACTGGCTTGGTCTTGAGTCGCTTAGCTCCTGCCGTATTTTTGCCGATCTCATTTGGGGTTGGAAATTGTGGAATGGGGCCATTGATATCCTGAACTTACATTTATCGCTATGTGTGCCTCAGCAACCACTTAGGAACCATAATTTGTTCTTTGTTCCACACTACAAAACAGAATATAGACTAAATTCACCCCTACCGAGGATAATGAGATTGCTAAATTATTATTCTAATGAAATGTATGTATTTCGCGATTCCTTGAATTCAGTTAAAGTTAAATTAAAATGTTTACTCGCCTTGAATCATTAAGCCTTGTTTTTGTTATTGTTGCTTAATTGTTCATTTGTTCTTTTTTTTATTGTGTGCCTTTTTTTGACTACTCCTCTAGTAGATTCTTTCTGTTGGAGTTATAATAAATACATAAATAACATGATTTTCAAATTATGAATTTGATAATTATTACAGGTTACAGTAGAACATTGAGACTGATGTCTTCATAGAAATTTGAAACCCATCTACTACAAACTTAATTGTGTCAATTTTCAGACATATTTATAATTGTTTTGCCCTGATGATGAAATCTTGGCAGGTAACAATTGAATTTGTTTTCCAGTCCATACTGTGATTATTTACATGGAAGAATTATACAAAAGACAGCCTAAAATAATATACTTTAAATTGTAATGTTTCCTAACCACCACTTGTTTGATTGTACGCCCTTCTTTGAATTGTGCTAGATTTTTATTATGCTTTCATGATTTGGAACGGAAATTTAGTCTTAATCATCAAACGATTATTAAACAATAATTAACAATTTTTGAAAGAATTGTGAGAACACCAAAAAATGAAAAACTTTAATTATTTTCAACCCTACACTTCACTCATAAATGTGACAAATTCATATCAACCTTTAAAGCATAAGCTCTTTTTTAATGAGCAGTTACTACCTATAAACAACCTTGAAAATGTTACAATAACTGTCCAACATTGTTTTTTTTCTGGGAAGGAACATATATGAAAATAAGTCGTTCAAAGAACAAATGCAAAATATTTTTGTAAAATTGAGTACTAGCAGTTAGCCATTTATCATTAATAATAATACATCATAAACAACTTAACTTTAAGTAGAAAAAATATATTTATTTTAGACTGCACTTATAATTATTGACTTAGAAAACACCAAAAAATGAAAAACTTTTCTAATTATTTTCAACCCTACACCACTTCACTCATATATGTGACAAATTCATATCAACCTTTAAAGCATAAGCTCTTTTTTAATGAGCAGTTACTACCTATAAACGACCTTGAAAATGTTACAATAACTGTCATCCTAGATTATAGTAAAGTACAATAGGAAAAAACAACCAAACAAATTGTATATTGAAAAATTAAATGAGGTTCATCAATGTCCTTATACATAGAGAACATACCTTTTAAAAATATCTAGAGCAAAGAAAAAAAAAATTTTTTTTTAACAGGGTCTTCCAAAGCTGGAACCATCATTGGTGGAACACACATCAGTGATGAAAGGAGCAATACCTGTCCTACCTATCTGCCTAGCATGGTTTTGTTTATTATTGAATGTCTTCCTTCCTGGTATAGGTAAGTTATAATACGTTTTGCTGAGTTTGTGAATTTGTGAAGAAGATTAATTATTTTAACAGGGACAATTATTAGTGGATTTTTATGCATGTGTTTTGGGAAACCGAGGTTCACGGTGAATGATTCAGCAGTTGCTCGCTTAGGCGCTTTATGTGTGAATATAATAGTCGGAATCAGTCAGATATTCACAATTCTATTCTGCCTCGTCGGCTGGGGGTGGAGCATATGGTGGGGGGTCATCATGGTTCGGCTTTCAAGTAAGATTCTTTTACGCTCGATTTTTTAGTCATTCTAAAGAGTTTTTGCTTCAGGAAAAAACAGGAGGATTAAACTCGCTGAAAAAGCAGCTGAAACAACTCCAGCACCAGTTGCGGTTAATCAAAACCACGATGTTGAAAGGGGACACTAATAAATGAGAAAATTTGCCAAATGTTTAAGGTTTATAAATAAAATGTAAATAAATTTAATTTGTTGTAAAGAAAGGAAGGGCTGGCAATGGTTTTTGTAATTAATTGAATTAAAACTGTATTGACTATTACACTTTTTGAATATCTAGTAAGATTCTATGTACTAATTTATTAAAAATGATATTGTATAGAACATCATTGAGCAACTTTTTTGGTAACAAAAATTTTAATTTTATATTACAATAAGAATGAAAATAATTTGCAATTCAGACTAACAAATATCAACCGTTTTGTACAGATGAACGGTTCCCTAATGTTAAAATGAGTCTTCCACAAATATAAAATTTGAGCATTGTGATATAGACGTTTATGTTAACAGTCCTTAGTTTTGATTTTCAACCATAAACTCAGCTAGTGTTGACACATTGGTACAGTTGACAAATGGAAACAATTTTTTCAGTATTAATTCAAATAGTATTCTCTTATTGAAAAGGTTCATAAATTGAAATTCAATAATGCATGCCTATTGTGGTATACTAGAGTATGGTAATCTTATAATTACATTTTATATTGTTAAAAACTATTAACAATGACCATGTAAAATTACATTTAAATAATTATACGATGTAATACATTAAAATATAAAAATATATTGACATAACAATTTTATTTTTTACTCACAACCCACTGAAATAACAAATTAATCTTTTGTTGTACTTAGGTTACTATATATAAAAATAACATCTTTACTTATCAAAAGGAAAAATGTTTTCCATCTTTTACAAACAAAAAAATTAAAAAAGTGATACAATTTATTTAAATTACAAATACAATTTTTATTTTTAAATTTATTTCTGGATTACAAATTATCAAAAATATTCCTGTGATACAACTTTTGCACTCATTCATATTTACCTGAGTTTACCGAGCAAAGTTTTAATAGTGGATGAGTGCTTCAACCGTTGCTGGCACTGTTTCTTTTCCCCGAAATCCCAACAGCTCCATAATTACAATACAGTTCAAGACACGGACATTCAATTTGGTCATTAAATCACATGCTGCTTTTAACGTTCCTGAAATTTAAAAAAAAAGTTTTGAAACACAAATGGTAATCATTTTAAAGGTGTACATTTACCTCCTGTTGCTAATAGGTCATCCACAATAACAACTGAGCCTATATTGAGAAAGCTATTTTTCTGTGCTTCCACAATATCCTAAAATATGTAACGATTAAAAGTTTTGTTTGTTTTTATTATGATATTGTTGTTCAAAAAGAAAATAAAAAAAAATAATAAAAGGACTAAGGAACTAAAATAAATTAAAAGGAAGATAAAATACTTAATGTATTTTGTGTTTTTGTTTTTGTTTAGTGCAGTGTCAAGATGGTAAAAAGACCTTCAATATGGGACGTTTTATGCAGCCAGTAACTGGCTTTTAGTAATATTCAGTATGTACAAACCGAACCGTATTCAAGACTGAATTCCACGCTTACAACTTCACCGGGAAGCTTTCCTTTCTTACGTATCGGGATAAATGGGATTCCCAGTTTCAACGCAAGGATCGGACCGAACAGAAATCCCCTTGATTCTATTCCTACGATGGCTTCCGCTTCATTTTTGTATTTCTCCACACGATCGTACAGCAGGTCTAGAAGAACGTTGAACACCTCGCAGTCGAGCGTTACAGAAAAAATATCCCTGGAATAATAAAAGTTATGGGTATAAAGAGAGAGATCTAATTCTAATCTAAGGAAAACTTTGAACAAGTTAGGGAAAAAGTCAAGGTTTATTTTTCAAAATATTCAAATTTCACAAGAAAGCAATTTTACACACAGAATAAACTTAAAACTTTAAACAACAACGGACGTTTCAATTGCAAATCTATCAAATGTAACTAGTGAATTTATTTTTAGGGGGTCAAAGAATACATTAAAAAAAAAAAAAAAATCATCAGTAGAAAAATAAATTATATAACGTACTCATATTGTTAACATTCAAGAGTTAGAGAGCGTCATTCCACTAAATATTCAGTAACTAAATTAACTAACCAACTAATAGTCTTAATACTAAATAGTAACTAAATAATTAGTGGAATGAAGCCCTCCAATTCCTGAATACTTGCCAAATCCATATCTTTTTCCTTCATATCATCGTATATCGTTAACTATCATATTAAAATCGTTTAGCTCCAAAGAAATAAGAAATATTTTTAAAAATACCTGAACAAAACGCCCTTTTTAGGAAAATCAGGGTATGATTTAATGCGGTTCTTGACCAGCTCTAATTTGCTTTGATGGTTCATCGGAAATAATGGTTCTTAACTTCTTACGTCCCTAATCGTCGTAATCTCTTTATCTCTGGAAAATACGTTAGTGGGGCGGGAGTGGTAAAACGGAGGGCAAATCTGGCCGTCGACATTCCAAGAGTATAATAATCATAATCATAAAAAGATCACTGACAATCATTTCAAATTTATGTATGTTAAATTGTCCCAATCGACAATTTTTGATTCTGACCGTTTGATTCAAAAGGATCGTGAGAACGCAGTGTTTGTAAAAATTGGAACTGATCAAACCAAAATATGGTCATTTCTAATACATTTTTATTAACCGCTTATTCGTTTCAAATAAGAACTTTTATTTAATAGGATGATAATAATAGCTTGATGAAGGTACATATGTACTTATAGAAAGAAAAGAAAACGATAAAGAATTAACATTTTATCAACATTCCTTATTATAATTTGAATTCATAAGAAGAGGTCGAGAAAGAGGTAGAAAAACACTTTTTCATTTCTTGCCGACGTTTCGACCTTTATTCAGGTCACCTTCCGATCCTATGAGGAGTATGAAATACTTGGTTCAAAATTTATATTTACATTTTAAATTGTATTTTTTTCAATCATCATATGTTTTGTAATTTACCCAGGCCCTGAAGATGACCCGAATAAAGGTCGAAACGTCGGCAAAAAAATGAAAAAGGTGTTTTTCTAATCTAGCTCATTCTTGACCGCTCCTTACGACTTCAACAAATTATGAAACATGTCACTAAATAACTCACATTCTTTAATATTTTCCGTAGTCGCGAGTAGTTGACGGTTCTAGAACGTGGGAAATCTATTATTTTATAATAAATAAAGACTAATATTTCAAAAATAAATAAAGCTTAACATTTTCGTTAACCGGTGTCGTCACAAAATCGTCATCGGGTGCAATTCGTCGGCTTGGGACAGCAACGTCTATGTCTATATGCGTCTGTGCAGTTACATTGAAACTGTAACGGAAATTATGTAGACTGTTGTAAATTTGATTGTGACATAGTAGGCCGAAGATTGAAGAACACTCTTGCAAGTTGGTTCCTTTTTTGATAAATCGTTCGGACGTCGCACTCTTCAACGTCCCACGTGAAAAAGACCGCGACGATGAAGAACCCGGTGACGGCTACGCTCGATTTTCTTTCCTACTGGTATTTCAGATACTTGATGGTCACCGAGCTCTACATGGTCGAGAAATGGGAACGTGTTTTCTGCAGTATCCTTTGGTGGCATGAACTGCCCTTGTTTTAATTTAACTTTTTTTTGCATTGTTTTTCCAACTCCAGAAAAAACAAAAACAAACAATTCTTTCCTTTTAACTTGAGGTTATCACGTTTCGCTATTTCTAAAATTGCATTTACCCAAATGTGACATACAATTCTAACAAATACATAGGTACACCTGATGATTATTAAGAGAAGGACGTTTTTTTAAATTATGATCAGTTTTTAAAATTATTTTATTATTAATGGGCCATTCATGTTTAATTACATACATCGACTTTTAACATTCACCGTGTTAACCTTGTACTAAATTAACGAAACCTAACATTCACATCAGACTTGCAGTCAATTATAGGCCCTACAAACTCAAAGTTCGTTGCAGATATACTAAAATCCAATTAAAATTAAAAACATATTCTACATTAAGAACCCAATAGATGTAGAGGAAAACTAAACTTAACAATACCCCCAACTGTTATACTAATCTCCTTTGACATAACAAACCTGTATCCATCCATCCTTGTCAAAGAGACTATTGACATGCAAAAACTGCAACAATGAATTTACAACTTACAAAAATAACCACTGAACAAAACTACTTTAGGTTCATCAAAGACATGTACATCCCAAAAGACGGTCTAGGGATGCAGAACCCAACATTGGCCATTCTTGCAGAGGTGTTTCTCCAAAATGTCGAAGAGAATCATTTCCAGTCAGAATAGTGACTGTGAAGAGATGCTTGTATTTAGATATGTCAAGGACATTCTTGCCATATCAGACAACTCCTTAGAAAACATACATAGGACCTTACCACAATATACAAAAACATTACATTCACCAGAGAAACTGAAAACAACAATCAACATCATAAATGTACAACCATTCATACTAACACAAAATTTCAGCACTACGACACATGATACATGGACTGAAAACAATCCCACCCAACACTGAAGACTACAAACAATAATGGACATTGCAATAAAAAATGGATACATAACAAACACCATCTGGAAACGTTTAAAAAAACAACGGACAAACAAAACGCAAATCAACAACAAATTATTCAGGACATGAAAAGAAATCTGCATACTTGCAAACTTGGTCTAAAATAGCACTAAGGACCTACAATAACACAGGTAAACTGCTAAAAAGAATCATAGACTCAACTGATCACTAGACAGAAACAGTGTTTATAGCATCACATGTCAGTGCGGAGACACATACATACATTGGGAACACTAGAAGGAAATTAAGAGATTGATTCAAACAACATCTTAGATACTTCATAGAGAATGACAGGAAATCAAATTATACCAAACACTTAATACGACGAACCAAACACACGAGCATAACACATAACCAAAAATGCATGACTTTAATGTACAACACACAAAAAGGATGAACTCAATGTACTGGTGAATCTTGAGGTATACAAACAATAACACTTAAAGACAGGAAACATATGAATGTACTCACACCATTAAAAACACTGCATAACATAAAAAAATAAAATGTTCAGAAGAATACATCATCGAAACCAACGCCAGAAAAAACTGGCAATGGAAATTACTGTCATCTCGACCAACCAGTGAACACATTGTGTTCAGTGATGGACAAATAAGTCATATACATTGAATCAAACACATTTGTCAGACACTTTTTTTGTTTGTGCTTGCACAAGACACACACACTAGGTTTGATTAATGTGAAACAGGAAGGTGGGCTCTGTCTGATGGAAAAGGTCACAGTTTTCATCTAACCTCCAAAATAAAGTTACTCCAAGTATATGAGGGCATACACAATAATTTTATTTTTAGCCTTGTGTTTAGGTAAGGGAATAAAGTAAAACTAACGTTTTTGTGGAATAAAGGCTTTTGTAGGCCTCTTTGAAGATAAAAGTTGAACGAACACTAGTTCTCTTACTTGGTCCATCTACACTAGCATGTTTTAAGTTGTTACTCAAATGCGCGAGTGTTGATGGACCCAGTTAGTGATCAAGTGCCGGTTCAACATTTGTTCACCGACTTGCAAACTAACATCCACTATTATCACACTTATCTTGGAGACATAGTTTCTCATACTCATCAAGATACATTTTCTCCATGGAGAAAATATGTCATGTAGTGTGCCACGGGTATCAGTGAGTCCCCAGAAAATATTTTATTGGATTTTTCAATTGAAAACATTGAGAAATTTATTTTATGAAGTTCTTTACCAATTATTATTACATTAGATTATTCAAATTGTTTTGTGTCAAATTCCTTAGCTTTAGAAATCAGATTTCACCATTTTAATATTTTTAATGATTCTCTCCTTTGTAAACTGCAAGATGCTTACCTACTCCAGTGTGCTGATATCAGAAGGCTTTAGAAATTTCACTTTATTATCTTGAATTGTACATATAATGTATTATTTGTTTTCAGATATGGTTTCAAGGCTGGATTTCATTATGCCTGGTTTATCCTAGTCTTTTCTGCACGTTTGTAAATTTTCGAACAAATTTTTATTGAATTATTTAAATATTAGAACTTTCATGGTTCTACTGTATATTTGATATCCTAGTAGTTTATTACATTCATTCTTATTATTGTTAACCATTTTTCTCTCAATTGAACAAGAAGAAGTTTATGAAAGCTTGTATTTTTAAAATGTAAATAAAAAAATTTATATTACTTTATTAATTGTTGATCTTTGCTAATTGTCCAATCCTTGAGTTCTAAATTCTAAGCATTTACAACACTTGTAAGAGAAATTCATTTCTTATTTTATATTATATATATTTTTTATATTGTTTAGGTAAATTAAAACAGCTTTTAGTTCCAGATTTTTTTTATTTCTTCGTTATTTTTAATTAATTTGACTGTTTTATTGCGAAGTTTCGGCATCCTGTGCCATCTTTTTACCCACCTTCATAATGGCCTAAAAATATGATGAAATAAAACTATAACATAATCAAAGGATAACAAAAACGAAAATTATTTTTAACGAGGGTTTGTAACAGCAGAGGCCGTACAAAGATTCCGGTTTTTACATTAAAAAAAAAGAACATTTGGAAGGAAATAATCCTTTGCTTATGTTACATCTCAAATACTCTGGTTAGATCCTGGGATGTACCAGTGACAACGGCCGTTTCAGCCCCCGGCATCATTGTTATTTATAATTTTATTACAATTGTATAGATTATAGATACAAAATAACAACTTTGCTGCCCATATTGCAAACTTGGGAAATGAAACAAAAGCAATATATTTTAAATTTATGATGTCTTGTAACATCATTGCATGTTGTGATAAACATTCACATCATTGGCATTAATTGTTTACTTCACTACTTTCGTGGTCCGCTTGACCAATTAATACATGACAATTAATTAAGGTTTTTGAAAAATGGCAAAAGGAGGGAAAACTCATAAGGTGGGGTTGAGATGGGGAGTTGATGTCCGAGTGTATCGAGGTCACGATAGCTCAGGTGGTAGAGCAGCGGTGTATCTAGCCGAATGTCGTGGGTTCGAATCCCTCTCGTGCCATTAACTTTTTTTCATCTCAACTAAAAACCTTAATTAATTGTCATGTATTAATTGTTTATGTTCACGAATGTCCAATCCAAACAACATTAAGAACTGATTATTCTTTAAAAGAACATTAATTATGTTCATCTAAATCTTAAAATGTTTATAATAATTTGTAATATCGAACTTAAATAACGCTGCCAAAATCAAAGTCCAAAGTAAAGCTAACATCGCCTTTTGACTAGACAGTTGTACAGAATAAATGCCAACCTCCGGACTAAAACACCGCTATCCGGCCCTTTGATGCTAAAAATGCAATAAAAACACGATTAAAAGAATGTGGCAGCATCGGTGAGAAACTCTCACGTATCAAAAGCACAAAATACGTGGCCCTCGGAGGATGGCGAGGTTGACATACGTAGAGTTATTTTGGTCCAAAGCGCGCATATGTGTCCGGCATCAGGAATGTAGAAAGGTTTCTCGGTTTGTCCCACCTAGTTAAAGAGTGCAATTCCTTGGCCCCGTATAAAGAGCGTGTAGGAATGCCACTCGTGGAGGAAACGGAGTTGTTTTATTGTATATAATGCTGATAGTTTTGTGTACCTAGCGTGTGTTGAGAGTGAATGTATTTATTAGAGTGAATGTGATATGAGGCCTACTATAATTATATAATAGGTATAAAGGAGGAATATCTAGTAGTCCAGCCCTAATTGAATGAACGATATGTAAATAAGAAATAGTGTACTTTTAACATAATGTATCGCCTTTCAGACTAAGTGAGATTATTTATGGGTTTGGTTTTAGGATCTGATTGCGTTGAGACACTTTACACGTGTGTACATACATGTGCAGATTTGACCTTAAATAAATCATAAATCAGTAACTTTTATTTCGTGAAAATCGATGTTTGCTTTAGGCTATAAAGGAAATCAGTAAAACAATCTTAATACCTAGTTTACACACCAAAAATAAGAGGAACAACAACTGAGGCGTCAATTATTAAAAAATAAATAAATTGAACTAGTTAATGAAGCACTTAAAACTTCTTTCTGTATAGATAAAAATATCCGATTGATTGATAGGTAGAAAAAATAAGATTGCATGTATTGAATAATAGGTTCTGTGCTGCAAATCTTTTCGGAAAAAATTAAACAAGTACAACGAGCGTTAAATTCTCAGTAAAGAGTTCAAACAAAGCGGATGTAGCAAAGCTGGGTCAATGTTGAACTGACAGAAATCGGATCATTTATACTGGGGACGCCTACGGTCCTGGGCTTAGATTTCACACAAACTGATTGAAGATGTCATGAAGCCGAACGCGTCGAGTGAAATGTAAATCCGCGAGATTAAACGGATCCAGTAAAGTGACAAGTTTACCGACTCGCAGACCATACCACTACTAAATGTTTTACCTCACTACAACCCTCATTTTATTTTAAAACTTAAAATATTTTAGACACGATTCCCCCCCCCCAACATGGACCCGGACGAACTTCATTTCCGTTTCAGTTTTAATTATAAACTTATTTTTTAAATTAATATAGTAATTTTTTACTCATACATCTTAGGAACTGTAGTAAAATTAAAATGAAATAAATGATTACACAAAAATGTATATACTCGCATAAAAGTTGTTTTTTTCGCTTAAGGCGTACTACCTACCAGAGAGCTTCATTCCATTTTATAGAGAATGAGATATGTTGATAATTGAATCGTGTCAATGGGAAAAATCAGATATCGTGTCGAATAGAAGCAATAACTTATGAAATCGTCATGTCACCAATTTCAATCGCGTGGGTGTACACGTTCTAAACAATTGCACGATAATAGCTTGTCTGCCCTTTTATTTCGGTCTGATTCGATTAACCGTCAATTGGCACGCTAATTTGCCTAAAACTGACAATGGCCGGAGAAAATTGTATACTACTATAACAGGCACTTGGGACGCTACGTGATGACAACAAACAGCCAAGACGGTTTCTCAGGTGTAAATGGGGAAACGGTTATGTACTCAACAGAGCACACATCTGGGTCTCGAATATCTCGTACGGTGGCAATTATATGTATACCCTATACGTTGTTTCCTGCACGGATATAAATGATTACAATTGTTTGCCACACAGCCCTTTGCTAGGCCCCCACCCGCAGCCTCGTCTCATATCCAGAAGGAGTCAATTATTCCATTATAGACGGCGGATATGGAACCCCTTGGCTCAGTCACAACTTAAATCCCAGTGCTTCTGTCCGGCTGAGATTACTACCTACACTATTGTAAGTAACTGTGTTATACCGTCACAATTTCGCTCCTTCATTGCACGTCGAGTTTCGTCTTTTGACAAATAATCGGGCGAACTGAAAATCAGCAAGCCGGTATATTTCTTCGAAAGATAATTCAATGAACCAAAGGAGCTGCATTTTATTAGCACGTAGAAATAATTTAGTAAATTTGAACGGATTGGGAACAAGTAAAAGTGCCATCGGTTTACAATATGTTCATGACAGTGAATAAATTTGTGAATTAAATAATTTAGGATGTAATATTTTAATGTCTAGGTGTTAAAACAGCTTTTTCTTTCTATCTTTTACGGCTGTTCATCAATTGTACAGACCATTAAGGGAGCTAAAGTAACAATTAAATCCGTTAAAAAATAAATCCATCATCCATGTTATATTTAACATTCCGGTAAGACAGTTGTCTAATGGCTAGTTTTATACAATTAGCGAAAATTACGATTACTTCAATAATTAAATTTTCTAAAAAAACTATGAACCTAGAATTTTCTTAACGTAGAATCCTGCAGTTTCAGAAAGACATTTAGGGACAGCAAGACTTTTTGAAGTATGTATAGGAGAAAAAGGTTTTTTTCTTATTTCGTAAATAAATAAGTCTCAACAGGTATGCAGCATTGATTGTAATGATTTATGTACCGTTTGATTCGGCATGTTATGCTTAGGTGCCTTTTGGGGAAGGAGAGATGCCGCAAATGAAAGGGGTTATGCTCCCGATGAGTGGGGGCCCCTTTATACGTTTTGTCTTCAGTGTATTTTCTTTATCTGATGTACAAATTAAACTAATAATAGTATTAGATGTAACTTTGACAATAACTATACGTGCCTCGAACTAACGCCCTATAGGCTATCCGCTTTTTCATAAAATATTTCATATAATATGACGTCTGCACTATTAATTACCTCGATAATTACATTACAAATATCACCTTTTATATTATAATTTTTGTTCTTTTATAACCAAGAATAAGGCTAATTTGATAAAAAAAATAAGACCACTAAGTTCCTTCATCAAGCTTTGAGAAGTAAATCCCTTTCATCAGAGCGATGAAACTTTTGTTCATAACTCACAAGATTAACAATTATGAATATCGATTTGCAATATCTAAACTTATAATTTCAAACATAAGTAATGCGTTTATGTAACTAAGGTATAACAAAAGTTATTTATTAACAAGTTTCAAAGCCCTAAAGAAGGTGGTATATAATTTACCCTCGGAAACATGTCAAAGGAACTGAGTGTTTTATTTTCTTTCATACTGGTCTCTATCTACTTGCAACATTTACTAATTAAATAAAAAATATTAAAAAGTTTTTAATTGTTACCCCCTTTTTTAAATACTTATTACCAGGGTACTTCAGGGTCAGTACAACTTTGAAATTTTAAACGAGAGCGTACCAATATTTTAAAGCAATTTTTACACTGCAAACGATGGCGCAATCAGAATTTAAATTGACACGGATACATGATTCGGGGGTTTTCCTGTGCCCATGTTCGAAAATTCCAATTTGTGGTAAATTCGATTCATGAGTCCACAGGATGTATGGGAGAATAATTTCTTCTGTATCCCAAATCGAAATCTCATTAAGAAACATTAACGTCTATCAAAATTAATGTCCAAAGATCTCGGACTAATTAAATAAAAAAATATTAATAATTATAAGAAAATAAAAAAATCAGTCCCTTTGACAAGTTTTCTAGATATAAATTATATACATGGTATCTTTTTTAGATGGTCCGGTTGAATTTCTCTTTAGCAAATAACGTTATCGAAGATCCGAAAAATACGTATTTAATATTTTTTAGTATATTTTTAAATTTAGGTATAATTTAGATGGTAAACAAAAGTTGGAATTCAGCCCTAATGCTTTTATTGTTGTCTAAATCCAATAAGATTAGTTGTGTAAACAACGTCGAAACAATCATTGACAAAGCAAAGAAAAAAGTTAAGAACCACCTGGAAAACAGTTATGAATTTCTTGGGTTGATGTTGGTGGGTCTACTAGTAGTAGGTACGTACGCTACTGTAACCGTACCAACGCCCGTTAATAAACTGTCGTCTATTTTAAAAAGGTACTTTACATGTTTCGAATATCTCGTGTTCCTGGTTTTTGTTCTTGATATTGGAAACTTGTAGATATCTGTTTTTAAAAATGTAACAGTTTATTAACTAAAAACATGCGTACCCATGATGACCCAACAAATCCAAATCCCAAGTCTGTTAGGCCTATTTTAATGTCTTTCAAATAGATAAAATGGATAAGGTATGCAATAGATGCAATGCAAAAAAAGTGGGCTGATGAAAGGAATGCATTCTGTTGTGCAGCTCGAGAAGTTACTTTTTCAGAGAATAAAGCCACCGGAGCCAATTAAAGAATTGTTGATAAGTACACATCCATTGTTTGCATATTTTTTTAATCAAACAATAAACAGTACAACACCCTTTTCCAAATGACGTCGTTTGGTGCAAAAATGAAGGTAATTTTAGGCCAACTTTTAAAATCCAAGGGCAAATAACCATCCAATTGGGAGTTTACATCCGGCGGAGCCATCTCCAGCTGGACTGAAGGCGCATATACCTTGGATTCCAATAGATTTGCCGTCTATATTTAAGAAATTACAATTCGCTATTAAACTATCTTTCGCTACAACGATAAATAAATCGCCAGGACAAACGTACAAATATGTGGGCTTAGATTTGCAGGAACAATGTTTCTCACCAGGACGGTATTATATCAAGACCAGGGATTTTTGATTATCTATTTATTTTGATAATAGACGGAGTCAAAAAAGTATTCAGAAAAATTGTAATAATAAAAAGAATGTAAATAAACAAATAAAGTTTCTGTACAAATAACAAATTTGCAACTAATTATTCAAATTTTCATACACCCGAGTGAAGCTCTAGCTAGTATTTAAAAAAAGGTAAAAATTTAAAACTAGACTAAAAAATATTAAATACGTATATTTTACTTGTTTTTTCGATGTAGTTAAGTTTAGGAGAATTCAGCCGGGCCATTTAAAAACGATACCCTGTATTTCATCTTCACTAGGGCTTTGAAACTAACCTCAGTTAAATAAACACATTATGTTTGAAATCATAACTTTCGGTATTGCATGTTGAATTGTTAATAACAGCTTAAAAGATGAATATATTCCTCGAAATTCTCTGGGAAAAAATGACAATAGTGATATATTTCCTTGCAAATTAACCTCCTCTCTGGTTACAGAAACATGGTAATGTGGTAACAAATGGTATTACTTTAATTTATATATTTCACACAGTTTTATTTATCGATGATGCGTCAACGTAATTAAATCCTATCCTGTTTAGAAACTAGCCGCTGCAAACTGCGACAACCTTAATTTTATTTACGATATAGATAATAATTTCAAACGAGCTTCTTGTTCTAATTTTATATCGCTAATTACCTTATATCCAAAAAATAATAATTCGTTAATTTTTCTTACCAAGTAATAAGCACAAAAGCCCTTACTAAAAACGCACTCTTGGATATTTCACTTAGAAAAAATTGGACGTGTTTAATTAGGGGTGGTTGATTGATTTTGTTGAGAGTATGGTTATTAGTAGTATATTAGTTAGTTTAATTAGTGTCTTAGGTCGGCAGTTATTAGTTTTACTTGTATTTAGTAGTTTTTACTTGTTTAATTATAATGTATATAGAAACTGTCATACAAGGCTTAAAGATGTTCTTATTACAGCTCACGAAACGAATAAATGTAACCCGTTCGTTCAATAGGATGCTTATACGGAATGCTGTTCTTCACAGTCATAGTCAGTTCACTTATATGGGTGACACAAGGGACTCCGTCGGGGAATCACACTTGTACAGGTGTTGTAAAGTGAGTATAAATTTCGTTAGTATTTGTTGTTAAATTAGTTTAATTCGAACGACGACATTTCAGGCACCCTGTGACAGTTCGCGTGAATGTGACAGAACCTGTCACCTACCGTACGTATACCTGGTGCCTTCGTGTCCCACCCAGGTGTTCCAAATACACCATCCAACTCCAAGATCGAGTCAAAATCCATGTTGGTTACAATAATTATAACTTTTTTCAAACACTATAAATACAATTACATTTCCAGACTGAAATGCATAATAGGACAATAACGGTTTGCTGTAAAGGGTATGTGGAGATGGATTACAAATGCGTGCCTGCGTGCCCGCCGCAGACCGATTGCCCCTTCATGCATTGTAATAGAACGAACCACTGCTACTGCACCCCAGGATATACTGGTTTATATTGCAATGATCGTAAGTAGGAAAATATTTAAAACGTTTTGTTCTCTATCAATTAAATAACAACGCAGACGAAACGTGCATGTTCTAAACACCAGGCTAATTGAACTAAACAGTTGGTACTCATATGTAAAAATAATCATTGTCTAAAGGTATTGCGAAGGTTTCGTTTTAACAATTCGTGTTATTTTTCCAGCGTGCGAAAGAGGATTTTGGGGTGAAAACTGCATGAAAGAATGTGATTGTCCACCTGGATACACATGCCACCATTTGACAGGTGATTGCATGCTTGATGATAAACGGCCGCCCTCTAAGACTCGAAGGACTACGACAACGACGACTTCAGAACAGATTACGTCCACGATGCCGACGCTGACCACGTCTATGGAGACAGAAAGTAAAACTGTTTCACCAGTGGTGACTACACAACCGACGACGACGAATACCGTGTTTCTCACCTCACAGGAAACAACCGTAAAACGGGTCACCGCACCATCACTCCCTGTCACACCTACGTCTTCCCCAGTTTCTGAATCGACTAATAATTTAACTTTTCTTATTACGAGTATGGCGAAAAATGCTACAACGGACGCTTCAAATTTTGAAACATGGATAACTAGTCAAACCGAAACCGATAAAAAAGAAACGGCAACACCGATGATTACATCACCTTCCACTGTGCAGAGTACGATGGTAACTACACGTCCAACAGATATCTCTAGTTCGACTTCTACGTCGATAGTAAATAATTCGTCTACTGTTCGAACGATTTTTCATTCCACCTATCCAACTGTTATTTCCACCTATCCAACTGTTATTTCCACAATCATTTCTTCAACGTTTGATAACACCACTCAAGAAAACAAACCATTTTCAATCAGTACAAAAATTTCGACACCCTTCGAGAGCACGATCAGTCCGAGCACGACGGTCGCTAACACAGTGGCACCTAATATAACAGGCACGGAAGTCTCCAAAATTGTCCAGACTATGTTTACTACTCCTGGAATGATTACTTCAAAAGTCAGTTCGACAACTCCCTTCCATCAAGCTACTTCTACGTTCACAACTAGTAATATCCACAACTATTCAGTTTTACAAACTGCAGAAACAACTAAATATGCTGATATGCTCTCAACCCTCCTTGAGCCAGATCACTCACATACAATTATGACTGAACCGAATACTAAGGAAACGAACATTATCTTTACCAGCACAAGTGTGTCATCTATCTCCAAAACGCCAGTCGATCAGAATACAACTAAACGACCTCTGAGTACCGATTTCGAAAGTAATGAAGATGGTATGTTAGAAGGCACTCAGACAAAATCAACTACTGAAAAAGTACTTTACGAAAATTTCCCACCTCTCATCATCAATCGAAAAAAAGTAGAATCAACCCTTGGGACTTATACGACTTCCTTCCAAAAAGAAACTTTAGACGGGTTTTCTTCGACCATTCTTCCTTCGTTGGTGCAAAGTCTACCTAAAGGCAACGAAAAAATCCCCGCTTCTTTCCCTCATCAACCGAAAACCAAACAAGTAGACAAGGGGGTAAAACTTTTAACCACCACAGACACAAAACCTACATCAACACCGTTCATATTAAGTTCACCCACTTCCTTACATGTTCCAGTGACGACCGCCAGCGAGCCTACATCGGATTTGATCCAACCTGTACATTCGCATGACCCAGCCGTTATTTCAAACAGCCACGATTCCATAACTGCCAAACGCCCTGTCTTCCGAGAGAAGACGACGACCGAGAATATCCCGTTTATCGACTCCAACAAACGTTTGTGGGAGATTTTTGAAACCGGTCTGAATTTGAAAACGACAATGTCACCTGCACGAGTGCTACGAACGACAACCACTACGACAGTGTCACCCACAAAACGATATGTTATCGAAGATTTGGAGCAATACGGGAATCTCGAAATGCCTATAAAAAAATCTCATGTTTATACCAGCAAGGCATCGAGCGAGACATTATCAATTAAAACAACACGACCTGTCCTCGACCTCGAGAAAGAGACCTCTACGGACACACCACAAATCCTAAAACAACCGAAACACAAAGAGAAGTATCAAAAGAAACACAAATCTAAGATCTACGATGCACCTTCGACGACCACAACACACCAACATCAGACGGTTACCGAAAACGTTACTTTCTCAAATACGGATGAGAAATCTCTTCGAAACAAATCTTCGTATAGTTTATACAAACCGACGGAATCTCTGATAGAATCTTCAAAAACCACCTCCAACGATAAAGAGGCAGAGTTGCCCGCATCCTCAGAAAGTACGTCGAATCCTACGTCCGCTCGACCGTCTCACACGTGGTATTCTCACGCTAGAGAAAAGGCGAAAATCAAGGAAGCGTTGAAATCCCTGAAGACGACGAGCCTGTTGGACAACTCAGTAAGGCCGACAGCGGCATTTGACAACGACTCCAATGACATCAACATGATGCAAACCTCTTTCACAGAAGGGAAAAACTTCAAAGAGGCAGAAGACGACAAAATAAAGGAGCTGTACCTGAAAGAAAATACTATCAACATGACAAGGACAGAAACCCAATATCCGCCGTCGAAAATAACGGCAGTGAACGAGAGTCTGTTTTCATTCGATTCCAGCACGTTCACCCTCAACATCCTATGCGCTCTGATGTTTGTCGTTGTCATCACCTTGTTATGGCTCCATCTGTCAAAAAAGCGAAAAACCGGGAGGGTTTCGCCCGATAGGCGTACAACGGCCAACACGTCCCAGGAAGAGACGGTCAGTCCGACGTACGAAACCGTCTTCCCCTTAAATCGTAAGTATAGCGAAATTGAGTTATATTGAAAACTCAATGGTTAGCTTTTCATTTCTGTGCAAAACATAGAGTATTCATTCATGTCGTACAATGATAAAGGGAGGATTAACGGTGGTACAAACCAAGGGGCGAAAATAATATAAATACATTTTGTACAAAGAGAGGAAAAAACCTCTTCTTGACATAGAAATCAATCAAATAATTAAGATTTTTAGTTGAGATAAAAAAGTCAGTGTCACGAGCGGGATTCGAACACACGGCCTTCGGCTAGATACGCCGCTACTCTACCACTTGAGCTATCGTGACTTCGACCCACTCGGACACTAACTTCCCATCTCAACCCCACCTTTTGAATTTTCCCTCCTTTTTGCCATTTCTCATGTCGTGTAATCTATTTGATTCTCGGCGACAAATGAAATGGCCACGGAGAGCTTTAGTGAAGATATACTTCATTTAAACTTATTCAATTCACTAGTTTTCGTGGTCACATTTCAGTCAATGTTGTTTAAATAGAATTGCTTCTGCTTTTCGTTTTTCATTTCTAATCGCTTCATAATTTAAATAATCGTAGTATTCCATGTAACACTCATCACTTTTCTTCTATGTTTATTTAATTAGTAATGCTGATTTTACCAGTAGCAATATCAAATTTTCAGAATGTCCAGAATCGTTAGAAGCGTCGACATTTTTCGGTCCAATATTAACAACCTACTATGCTGACAGGATCAATAGAGGTACAGCTAAAAACTGTCTCAATCATATTTAAACAAATGATCAATGAACATGAATTGATGGGTTTTACAGGACTCGCGGAAATGAATTACGATCACCCACGGTCGAGCAATTTCAACCAGCAATCTGCGCCATACGCGGAAGCCCAGTTCGATTATTTTTAATTTTGGAATTATTTATTACTAATATGTTTTATTTGTAAAAATGTTTTAAGTATATTTTATTTGTACTTTTTTTATTTGAATGCAATAAGTAAAAATAATTGAGTAACTCCTGATATTATACCATGTACAATTATTTATAATTCAAGATGTATTGTATTTGAATAGTGTATTTACATTTGAATTAAATTTTTTTAAATATTTCCATAATAGTTGATGCACATGTCCTCGGTTTCATTATTTAAATGTAAGCCAATACACGTTTAACTTAAGTGCATACATACAACAATATGCAGTAATAAACATCCTGCAACGTCATCAAATCGTCATTTTCACCGATAAATTCATAACAATTGTGACTGAGGTTAAAGGTAAACACTAAACGAAATTGATTCGTTGGTAACAAAGATTTGCGAAACCAACCTCGCCCTTTCGGCTTTTATCTTACAAGGTTAAATGTAAAATTAAAAATAAATTAAATTTAAAAAAAACTATCAAGGCGAAACTCGAATGAAGAATGAATCAGGTTTTATCTGTTGTTATCATTCCATCTTAAGTGAGGATCTATTCTGAGGGCTTTTTTTAATTACAAATACTCCTGCCCTTATTCCATCATCACGATTTTTTTATACAAAGTTGAAAAAGTTTCCCTTGTCTGTCCAAAGGTTTCTATTGTAAGAACAGATAAGTACATGGGAAAAAAGATCATAGTAAAGGTTTTAATTTTTAATCATTTGAAAGAAAATACGAAAAAAGTTAAGAGACTATATTATTATAAGTTAAGAGACTCTATTATTATTAGATTTTATCAAGTTTGTACAATATATTGTATATATTGTACAAACTTGATAAAGTCTCTTAACTTTTTTCGTATTTTCTTTTAAATGATAAACAATGCAAACACATTGTATTATATATGTACACAGTCGATAAATCGATAGGCGTGTACTAAACCGTCACGTAGGCAAAAGGAAATTCTTTACAATCTTGAAAGACCCTTACTTAGCATCCCCTCAACTCACCTTGTCCATTAGAAAATGAAAATAGTTTAGCCGTTACACAGTAGAAGAAAATACCGAAATAATAGAAAAACATCTCCTTAAATACTTCAGCAATACCAGTTACATTTGTGGTGCCAAATCCCCTGTAATTTTTCGTGCTGAATCGAATGTAACAATTTTCGAGTACTAAAGGACCAACTTATTATGCTGAATTATTCAATGTAATTATCTACAAAACGTGTTTTTCTTTAATGTAAATTATTAAATTTTTACCCATGTTTTGCCTCCTTGTTGAACTATTTATTTTTGTGTCACTAAGATGAACAAATATGAAACTATAGTTAAAATTATATTTCAAAATGAAAAAAAAAAAACAAAAAAAAACTATATTTGCGTTGGTTCTATAGAATAAATCAGCTTATTACAAAATTTATACTTCAAGGGTCTATTGTATATTATTTCTTGTTATTTCTGTGTTAATCCCTTTGCGAATGAGCTTAGACAACCCCGCAGGGGAGTCGATTGACCAAGAGATTCTATTATTGAACAAAGCGAAATCAAAACATTTATTTATATGTATATTTATTTGTTTTATTATGTAAGTATGTAATAAGTTTGGTGTGTATAATGAAGTTACATTAAATTTACATATAGTTCGTAAAATAATTCATATTTGAAAATTATTTTAGCGTGCAAATAGTAGGTGGAACGTTGTTAAGTAATATTTCGTTACATTTCATTACTTGCTGTTCGCGATGATTTTCTACTGGTGCAGGATGTAAAAAAGCTAACATTTTTATTTCAGTTCTCTTGAGCTTCTGATAAGGAGCCTATCGGTAAAGCAGAATTTTCAATAATTTTCTTCCAGTGCAAAAAGGGATTTTGTGACAATCGCGGGTAAGCGCCTTGCCAAGGGCGCCAAGTAAGCTGTTTCATTAATAAATTTTCACAATCATTAATAAATGGAACGGTTCTTTTAAAATCTGTATAAATAATTAGTTTTTATCAAAAAATAAACAGAATGAAAAACGAAATAACGCGCGGCATTTTGTTAAGCTTTATACACAATCAAGAGGCAGACTAACTTTATTTAGAGCAAGATTCACATTCGCATAAATACATAATTGCTATTAAGGGAGTAAATAATTTAACCAAATCCTGTTTACAATCGGCTGGCTATAAAAGTGATTGGATGATTGAAGCAGCAAGCATTTAAGCGCTTTTCGAATGATCAACTGAAATCGGAAATTGAACCTTGTAGTACCTACTATTTAAAGAAACATCTAAAGAAGCAAGAGGTTCTTTGGAGGCAAGCAGAGCTGGTATTCAAAACTCAATAATAATAAAAATCTATTATATTAAGGAACGTTCATACTCGTTATAAACGTAGTTATTTATTATTTGATATCTATATGATTGATTATTGTGAGAGAGTTACTTGGGAAAAAATGTTTCCAGAAATGTTGGGATATACTTAAATAAAAATTAACAACAATTTTGTAAAATTAGAAAAAAGGGCTTTTTTCACCTTTGCCCCTATGCGACCGACCGTAAGAAATTTAGTCGCCAAGTTGACAGTTGATTCGCGAACAACACTGGTATCAGCAATTCCATATTTATCGAGTCCCTTAATTCTGCGGTTACGAATGAAACAAAAAGAGGAAAAAAGCAGATTCAGATATTTAAAGCAACTTGTAATAAGTTTGGTTGGCATACGTTATTTAGATCTGCTGTGCGTTTTGCACTAAATCAATAATTTTATTTTACACCGTTTTTCCGTACATTTTAAAACACTTTTTATATCAGTTATATATAAAGAAATTAACTAAACTATTTAGTATGTAACAAAGGATATGTACAGATTTCTCCTTTCCGCTAACAACGTCCTACTAAATATCTTAATGCATTTGCACTACTATTATTTATGAAAGCCTTAACTAGTAAAAACTTTCTAACAATCGAGAGTACCTTTTATAATTGAAGGGTAATCGCGAGGGTGAAAAAACAGTGGTTATTAATATGGAAGTGGTTTAATACCTTTATTATATAAATGGCTATACACAACGGCTTTTCAGTTCGTACGATGCTTCCACTGGTGGCGGTCCTCTTATTTTTTTTAGTCACGGCCCGCTCTGAAAGTCTAAGAAGAGACTTCAACATCCAAAACTTCAGCGATGGCATCGTTAGGGAACTGAGAAGTTGGGTTCACGGAGAAGAAAGGACGCAATCTTCGTCGCCTTGGAAAAGTATGACGACCATAACGAGGAAGGTTCCGGTACCCTATCCTGTGACAATAGAGAAAAGAGTCCCTTTCAAGGTAGTCGTTAAGGTAGAAAAGCCTTATCCGATTTATGTACCGAAGCCCTACGCCGTAGTCATGGAAAAGAAAGTCCCTTATCAAGTTTTAGTTCCAGTTCCCAAGCCCTACAAATTAATTAAACACGTACCTTATCCTGTTAAAGTGGAAGTTGACAGACCGGTCCCTGTGAACGTTCCAAAACCGTATCCCTTCGTCGTCGAAAAGAAGGTCCCGATTGTAATCGAGGATGAGATCAACTATCCCGTCAAAATGCCATTGGAAACGTCTTATCGAGAAACCCCCGACGACACATTCCAAGAGGAAGGCCGGCAGTCGCCTCAACATCTACGCGGGAAAAGTGGCACCTCCACAGAGATCCGTAGAGAACCGACGTATCCTCCGAGCAGACGAGAGGTTTTTGACTCCTCGCCGATAAACACCGATAATAAAGACGAAGCGACAATTACAATAATGGAAGAGTTGCCTGGTATTCCGTCCTGGGAAAAGGGAGATAATTATCAGCAGTACAGCGACAACTCCACTGACGTGCTCGTTTCCGACGATGATTGGATGCGCGCTGAAGAAAACATTTTTTTGCAGATAAACGCGGCCAACGACACCGCCGAAAGAGATGTCAACCGTCCCGCAATAGACGAGAAATGGCCGGAAGTACCCGATTTGGTCGAATTTCTTCGGAATAACGACAACGATCCCAGTGCCGTTTTTCAAATCAACAACTTAACGAACTTCGATACCGACGAAATTGGAAAAGTGGAAGACCAACGATTTCCACACAGCCACGAAAACGAACAATCAGGTCACAGGGAAATGCCAAATTTATTTGGAACGATCAATCGAAAAAGACCCACCGATAATGAAGACAAGGATAACTATAACGTGGATCCTTGCAGTAAAAATGAAAGCAAAATCAACCCTAGAAAACGCATTCTTATGAGGAAACGAAAGCAAAAACAAAGTAAATTAAAATGAGTAACATCAATATTATAACATCTTTAAATGATAAGTTAGTCGTAAATATTTAAAAAATTTTATTATTCTTTAAAATATGTATTTATCACATTAGTGTTCAATAGAATAATTATTAGTGTAAAATAAAACTGTATCTATCTGGTACAGCCAATTATTAACTTTACCATTCCAACAATTTTGAAGAATTTTTGTTTTTATTTAACAGTGTATACACCCAATTATTATTGTAGAAAGGAGTAAAAGTTGAAATTACTAAAATATCATTTAAATCAAAGTTACATAAACTTTAATCAATAAAATATGACTAATTGAGCTAAGATGCTTACAGCCAGTCTTACAAGGCGGGGGCAAATTGAAGAAGCCCATTTAGGAAGAATAGAACTTGACCAACTTCATTTCGCTGGTGTCGAAAACTAGCTTCGATTTGGACTTAATTTGATATGTAGTTTTACGATATATGCGTATGATCTGATTTAAATTTCCGCAAATTTGTGCAATGTTACCAATTAAATTATGTATTGGTCCGAAACAAACATGACCAGAAGAATGTGCCCGGCAACGTTGTTGGAGCGCAATTGAAAACAGCACATTAATATCTTTGGCCAATTCTGTATCAGAGTTTCACTGTCGTATTATGCTTCCACCAAGAGTATGGTTCTTACGTTAAATTACCTACAGGAAAGTTTCTTTAATTACACACTCGACAGAAAACATTCAGGCTTTATACAATTCATCATCTAGAGGCCCACGTTCCGTAAAACATTTTGAGAGCATTTCTGAATGAACAACGAGGACTTGCTAGTCCCATATTCCATCCATGTTTTGACTAATAGCATATTGAATAACTTAACA